TATCCTGAACTTTTTTTTTTTTTTTGTCCTTTTTGAGACCGGCCGCACAGCGCTCAGCCAGTGAGCGCACCGGTCATCCCTATATAGGATCCGAACCTGCGGCGGGAGCACTGCTGTGCTCCCAGCGCTGCACTCTCCCGAGTGCGCCACGGGCTGGGCCCGGCATCTGCATTTTAACTTGGAAAACCACTGCTTCAATCCCAAGGAAGGAATCCCAGATGGTGGCATCTCAGTTCTCCCCTGAGATCAGCAGAAGAGAGATTCTCAGGAGTAAACATTTTTCTGGCAATTCTCAAATTACATCAGGACAATTGGGCACTGTGGAAAACCACTGCTTCAATCCCAAGGAAGGAATCCCAGATGGTGGCATCTCAGTTCTCCCCCGAGATCAGCAGAAGAGAGATTCTCAGGAGTAAACATTTTTCTGGCAATTCTCAAATTACATCAGGACAATTGGGCACTGGGTATGTTTACTTGTGGCTCCTAGGACTATTTATATCTAGGGTAATACACTTGTACCTAGTGTTTGTATGAGGTTATATGTGAGGAATCTTGAGGGATATACCCTACATTGTATGTTCTCTGTGCTTTCTCTGGGTTCTTCCTCATGTTCTGTGAATTTGGGAGGTGCTGTGGTCAGAATGTTTGTGTCCTATCAAATTCATATGTTGAAATCCAAACCTCCAAGATGATGGTGTAAGGGGGTGGGGGCTTTTGGCAGAGCCCTCATGAATGGGATTAGTGCCCTTGTAAAAGGGGCTCCAGAGAGCTGCCTTGCCCTTTCCACAATATGAGAATACAGCGAGAAGGCACCATCTGTGAGAAAGCAGGTCCTCCCTGTACACTGAATCTGCTGGCACCCTGATCTTGCACTTCCAAGCCTCCAGAACTGTGAGAAATAAATTTCTGTTAATTTATGGTATTACAGTACTCTGTTATAGTAGCCTGAATGAACTAAGACAGGAGAGAAGTAAAGAAGGTGGTGATGGGGTCAAGGAAAAGTGGGAGGAGAGGCAAGACGGGGGCGCTATAGCATAGTTTCTGCAAAAGGCAGATGCTCAGGCCTTGTGCCGGAGAATGTGTTCATTTCACTGTTTGCAGTGTTTAGCTGGTTATCAATGAGCCAGAGCAGAAGACCAGAACGGAAACCATGACACCCACCCCAGCATAAGTTTGGGCTCCCTCCAAAACTATTTCCCTTCTGCATGTGAATGCAGTGGGCTGGAGAGAGGACATAAGTAGGCTTCAGGAGGCCACCTCCACACTCTATAGCCTGAGGTGGCCCTCAGTGAATGGCCATTCCCAAGCATTTTGCTTCTGCCTTCAGTCAGACCCACCACCAGTTTCATGGGAGGGTTTGAGGGTCATCTGTATCCAGGGCTGTCTCTCTTCTTCTATGGAATTTATCATGCACGACTCGTCTCCAGGGCCTTGATATGCAACTCCCCTGTCCAGTATCCGCCACGCCATCCCTGGAGCAAAGGAAGATGGGCAAGGCTTCAGCAAATACACTATGTTGGATTGCTAAAGATCTTGAGTGCCTGCATTTTAGTAGCCCAAGAGTTGCACAGCATTCCTGGACAGTTCGTACTTATCAGCAAGATGTATCATCAGAGAGATTTTATGTACCGCAAACAGTGGCAGCACCTCACTCTCTATGTGGCCTTCTTCCTGACTGGGTGCATAGACTTGGTGAGCCAGAACCTGCTGCCCCAGAGGTGTGCTGTTCTGGAACAAGGTGCCCAAGCCCTGGGTGTGTTTATATTTCTGCCTCTGATGGTGTCTCACATGCAGGACACAGAAGGAGTGGAGCTGCAGTCTCACATCCTGCTCACCCAGGCCGTGTTCCTGCTGACGCTGGTGGTGACTGCAGAGCTATGGGCTCCCAACATGCCACTGATCTGGATGATGAAGGCCTTTTTGTACATGATCACAGGCTCTTGGCTGATGCAGATAGGCTTTATGTTGTACAAGCCAGTCTCGGGCTATAAATGGATGGATGATGACACAAATGACATCGCATTTACCACTATCTTCTTCTGCTGGCATGTGGCCTTCAGTGCCATTTTGATGATCTGGATCTATGGCTTTTCTTTTTTGTGGTACTGTTACATTTTTATTCATGGCTGAACTTAGAAGTGCCCCAAATGGTTCTCTGTTGTCTGCATACTCTGGAACATCTGGGTGAGAAGTCGTGGGAGGTGGAGCTGTTAGAGAGGAAGATCGGGCATCCTTCCTTCGGAGGTGTCCCACCCTGAGGCAGCAGACTCTGCTGGGATGGCATACTCCCCCCTCCCCTTCTGGCTTCTCTCAGACTCAGTTGCTGAGCAGTGTGCAGAGGAAAGGTGAATGAAACAACTACAACCTTCACACCCAGCTCCCCAAGTGTTTCTCTCCCCTCCCCCCCCACTCAGCTCCAGCCATGGTGACCTGCTTGTCCTGCACCTCTGCATCCTTCACCCCCCTCCCGTGAGAACGTTAAATAAATTTACTATACCTTGCCTTTGGGCCTTTTTATTAATATCCTTCACCCTACCACGGTGAACACCAACCACTAGTCACATTTAGCACATCACAATAATTAACCCATCATAATAACCACCTCTCCATTCTTTCTTGTTCTGGATCTCTTCAATGCTCATACTAAATCTAGACCACTATTTTGACTACATAGAACTCATGGAACTGTTCTTGAGTTCCTTCCTTTGATTGCTTTTTGATTTATCAAACAGAAAGACCCTTAAAGACTACTTCCTTTGCAGGGCCTGGTGGAGCATTACCCTGCACGTGGTGAGGGCTCACAGTCTGCTTCTGGAGCTTCCCCATCTCATCTCCCCAAGTCTGGAGGCTGTCAGAATCTTCCCATTGCCGTGTACACATATCATTCAATTTCCAAGTAGGAGACTCACCTGGACTTATTCTTCTGGTTCTTATGTACGACAAAATCCAAATGCTTTGTTTATTCTGCATATTTTTCTTTTCAATCCTCACTCCTATCAGGGAAGTTTATAGGCAGGTAATCTAAAACTCAAAAATGTTAAGAAAGTGGCTTAAGGTAGCTAGATATTTAACTATGTCACATAATGCTACAGCTGAGTGTCCAGAGGGATGGAATTCTAAGTAGAATCAAATTATTGGGGACTTGGCAAAAGAATGTCTTTATGCTACCCTTTCTGCTTCTATCCCTGCTTTCCCCAGGATATGGTCAATCTATTAAGCTTCCTTCTCTCCTGGTTGAGTCTAAAACATCTAGTTAAAACAGAGTGGGGCTGGGTAAGTATTCTGGAAGGGTCTTTATCTTTTTGGTTTGTTTGGTTTTTTCTTCTAGTTCTTAGGAGAACTAGATGTATCCTTTGGTTCTGGCCCAACACTTCCCTGTTAATTTTCTTATTCAAAAGTTAAGGTGCAGCAGGAATGAGTTGTTTTCTGTGTGTCAAAGACCTTCACCCTCTGGTTTTGGGGAATGGTGAGCATTCTGAGTTATTACTGAGAGAGAAGGTGCTTCCCAGTGTCATTTAGGTGGGGCTCAGCCAGGTCTCAGAGTGCGGGAGGCGTGCATGTGCTGGACGTCTAGTGTGTGACCAGCAGGCAGCCTCCATGGCAGGCTCACACCCCACATCAGTGGGATGATCAGGTGACAACACTGCTGTCCACTGGAGGTGATGAGGGGTTCCTTGCAGGGAAATGAAATATTCCTCAGGCATAGTTCAGTTTCCATGCTTCTCTCTGGTCCTGGGGACCAATGGAACTCCACGGTGCTCCGTGTAGTTTCTGCCCTTTTCTCGTTGTCACCTCTGAGTACCATCCCTTGTTTCTCCCTCACAACCTTTGTGTTCTTTTCAGGCCTTGGCCAGCCTTGCAGCTCCCCCTCTCCCTGTGTTAGTTGAACCTCATCTGGTGTCCTTGAGGTTGGGATGGTAGGAATCTGATTTTCCTCTACACACTTTCCTGTTGGTGTGGCAAAACCCTGTTTTCTACTTCACTCAGGCCTCCCCTATTTGATACTAAGAGTATATTTTGCATTTTTCTAAACCTAAAAATTGACTTTTTGTTTTCATTTTTATTTTCACTATTACAATCTGACTTCATCTTGAGGCAATATCTTTGACTAAATAGAGGAAAAGTCATATTTTTTGTTGTTGTTGATCTTTTTATTTATTTTGCTTTTTTAAAAATTTTATTTTGTCAATATACAATGTAGTTGATTTAAAGTCATATTTAAATAGGGAAAAGTGCATATTTAAATAGGAAAAAAGTCATAGTAAGGGCTTAAAAACAAAGCCCAAATATTAGCATTTCAAGATATTATTTCTACACAACAATGAAAGTTGAAGATACACCAAACCCACTGTTAGCCCTTAGACCTGTCCTGTCTTGAATACTTTTGAAGTCCTGTTAAATATTGATGAACTCACCTCTTGTAGTAAGTTAATGCCTCCAAACATGATCATGTCTCACAGCACGTATCTTCTAGGTGTATAGAGCCACAAAGAATTATAGCTAAGGCCTGATATAATGGTGGGATATGCAGGCCTCCTGTTTGTATGATAAGGGCCTTCCTGAACTTCTCACATCACAGTAGGTATGAGCACTGTCACAGTAATCCTAATCACTTTGGAAAGTAAAACCAAATGAAGATAAATTTGTGGAAAAACAGTAACAAAAACAAATCTATCACAGAGTAGAGCTTTGGGGAGAAGGGTGTAATCTTCACCACCATCCACCAGAGGGCACCATCTTCACAAGAGCCTTGCTGGGCACTTGCTCTCTGGTATTGAACTTCCAATCTAAAAGAAGTGAAGGCGGGTGCAGAGGAGGGCAGGAAATACACATAAGCAAGTATTGTCCAAGCATCCAGTAAACATAATGTAGGTCTGTTTGTTTCCTGATAAACTTAGATGTGCGGAAATGAATAAGCACAGAATTAAATTGATGAGATAGAGATAAGATGTGTGTACATATCTCAAAAACCTCTTGGTCACTCAGTCTCTGACCACCCTTCCTAGTGGGGTGAAAAATCATTGTGTGAGTCTCGGAGGGACTGTCTCCCACTATGGAGACAGTTGTTTGGGAAACCTGCATACTGTTTCCCATAATGACTGTACTAATTTACAGTCTCACCAACAGTGTAGGAGGGTTCCCCTTTCTCTGCATCCTCGCCAGCATTTATTTTCTGTCCCTTTGATAAGGGCCAGTCTAACTGGAATGGGGTGATATCTCATCATGGTTTTGATTTGCCTTTCCCTGATTAGCAATGTTGAACATTTTTTCACATACTTCATATACCTGTTGGCCATTTGTATTTCTTCCTTTGAGAAATGTCTATTCAGCTCCCTTGCCCACTTTTTAATTGGGTTGTTTGGGTTTTTTTTTTTTTCCAGTATTGAGTTGTTTGAATTCTTTTATACTCTGGAAATTAGCCCCTTGTTGGACATGTAGTTTGCAAATATTTTCTCCCATTCTGTAGATTGTCTCCTGACTCTGTTGATTGTTTCCTTTGCTGTGCAGAAGCTTTTTAGTTTGATAAAATCCCATTTATTTGTTTTTGCTTTATAACCTATGCTTTTGAAGTCTTATCAGTAAAATTGTTGCCTAGTCCTGTGTCCTGGAATATTTCCCCTGTGTTTTCTTCTGGAAGTTATATAGTTTCAGGTCCTACATGTAAGTCTTTAACTCATTTTGAGTTGGTTTTTGTATATGGTGAGAGATAAGGGTCTAGTTTCATTCTTCTACACATGGATATCCAGTTTTCCCAGCACCATTTATTGAAGAAGTTGTCCTTCCCCCAACATGTGTTTTTAGCTCTTTTGTAAAAGATCAATTGGCTGTAACTATGTGGGTTTATTTCTTTTTTTTTTTCCTTTTTTGTCTTTTTTCGTGACCAGCAACGGATCGCAACCCTCAGTGTCGCGTCCGTACCAGACCAGGACCGGCAACGGGATCGCAACCCTCAGTGTTGCACCCACACCTCGCTCAGCCAGTGAGCGGGAACTGGTCTGTATGTGGGATCCGAACCCTCGGCGGGAGCGCCGCCACACTCCCAAGCGGCGCACTGTAGCAATGAGCCACCAGGCCGGCCCCTATGTAGGTTTATTTCTGAGTTTTCTATTCTGTTCTGCTGGTCCACATGTCTGTTTTTATGCCAGTACCATGCTGTTTTGGTTACTATAACTTTGTGGTATAATTTGAGGACTTGATAATTTACATTTTTAACAAGAATCCTAGGTGATTCTTATTATTATTATACCAGTTTGGTTGGCATCTGGTGCCCTTTCCTTTTGGGAACTACAAAGGATCCAACCATTATTCACTTTAAGGATCCAACCATTATTCACATCACTCTAGCCAGCGATGTTAGCTTTTCATCATTACGATTATTTGGAGTGATCTCCATTTGGTTGTTAACAGCTCCAATAGTCAGCCTCTTCAAGCTATGGGGAAGATGATCGGACAGCAGTTAGGACTAGAGAGTAGCTCCACATGGCTTGATTGAACACCAGTCTGAAAGCATGCTTTCTTAAGGAATGTGGGAATATATCACTATGGTATATGCTGTTATTTTAGGAAGAGATCACAACTCTATTTCTTTTGCTTAGATTGTGATAACCCTTTTCCAAGGGGTGATAATTCAAGAAATAAAGTGATGTTGTACACCATCTAGAGCTTCACCCTGAACTCTCTTAAGATGTGTGTATTACACTAACTAGCGAATGAGGTCATTGATAATAGATTGAAGAAATAGCGTAGGTTACAAACTCATCTTGGTATGTTAAAACATCAGGAAGTAAAGAAAGAATCTCTTCTCACTAAAATCACGTTAAAATACAGTATCTGGTTTTTATGTGTACTAAAGAAAGTAAAACACTTTTTCAAATGTAAATGATATTTTATTGACAATTCCTTATTCACAACATTCCTTCCAACTTCCAAAGTTCTTTTTTTCATGAGACAACAAGGTTTTTTAGACATTATTTAAGCTTTACAACAATCCTAGGACTTTTGAATTCTTTAAACCTTTCCTTGGGTGTGACAAGAAGAACTCTCTTCTCAGTAATTCGAGACTAAATTATTAACATTTATAGGGCTATTGGTCTTTTACCTTAATAATCACTTTCTGTTACAAGAGGACA